GCAACCATATATTTGAAAGCTATTTACTCACCCTAAATAAAACTGATGCTTTTACTCTCTGTAAGTTTCGGTGTAGATCACATAAATTACCTGTAAACAAAGGTCGGTTTGATGCGAACACACCACATTGTGATATGCAGTGCACACTCAGCCTGTCCACTGATATAGGAGATGAATTTCACTATATTTTTGTTTGTCCGTTTTTTCAAAGAGAGAGATGTTTATATTATCAAAAAAGTGTTGTAAGTCTAAGCTCCCAAGTGCTATGCACATGGCAGAACTTTTTAATACTAGAAGCACTTCTCAGTTGAAGAATTTAGCGAGATTTACCCGCCTTATTATGTTGAAATTTAATCAAAAAACAGAGAAAGAAGATAGTTCAAGCAGTTCAAGAAGTACAATTAGAGCTGAACCTACACGTACTCGTAGCGGTAGGATAGTGAAACAGCTTACTTTGTTTACTATTTAGCTTGTAAATAGACTGCATTATACTTATCCTTTTATTATTGTCAGTTTGTCACTATCTACATTCATGTACATGTACCTGTACATGTATATATAATTTGTGTTTACTAGTTGGTTCATTGTTCATGTTTGTACTTTCATACACTATATACCTATTATCGTTTTTATCTTTGTGTCATTATCTATGTATAATGTATGTGAATTGTATTCATAAGTCATGCATTGTTATTTATACTTTTATGTTTGTTTGTACTCTCATACCCCGAGAGGGGGTCAAAGAGTCAATAAAATTGTACAAAATTCTACAAATTCTACGAGAGGGGGTAGCCTATGGCCCGGGTTAAAATTCAGTTCTCTTTAATTTATTTGACCCAGTACTGATGATCATAATTTTATCTACCATGTGATTGCCATGTGTACGCCACACCGAATAGCACTAGCTCAAAAGATTTTACACACTAATATATATATATATATATATATATATATATAGTAAAGCTACATACACTTAACTGAAGGAAAGAAACCTATAGAAAACGGACTGGATATTATTGAAAATACTATTCTAAACAAGAATGTACTACATGTACTACATTACGTTACAATTTCACGAGAGAAATAGAACTCGAGAGGGGAAGAAAAGAAAAAGTGATGAAAATGAAAGAAGACTAATAGCATGAGAGGAAAGAAAAGAGCTAAGAAGACAAGAAAAGGGTGTAAAAAGGAAAAGGAAGAGCAAGAGAGAGAGAGAGATAGCCTTGAGCTTTTGATCGGCTAATGAGTAATAAATGAAACAGATTTTGAGCGGAGTAATTATCTTTCGCCGGAGAACTTGCATAAGGAGCTAAAACTTGATGTTTTTTAAATCAAACATCATGGGGAATAGCAAAAAACGGCTGAGCATTTATTGCACTAATTGCCAGAGGAGCATTCATGTCTTCCACGAGGCCGCACTTTTGGATCAGAGAGCAATTTAATTGTCGGTGGAGCATTGTCTTTTGCGGGGTACTTTTGGGGAGGAGCAACAATTATTGTCGTATAGTGAAAGTGAAAAGTATGCCGCAGACCTGCCGCAGATCTGCCGCAGACCTACCGCAGACTTTTAGTCTGCGGCAAAGAGTATGCCGAAGTATGCGGTAGAAAGAAATTTTGCTGCAGACTTGCCGCATACTAGTATGCCACAGGAACAGTCTGCGGCAGATCTAGAAACTTTGCTCCAGACTTGCCGCATACTAGTATGCCACAGGAACAGTCTGCGGCAGATCTGCGGCAGGATGAAATTTTGCTGCAGACTTGCCGCATACTAGTATGCCACAGGAACAGTCTGCGGCAGATCTGCGGCAGGATGAAAATTTGCTCCAGACTTGCTGCATACTAGTATGCCACAGGAACAGTCTGCGGCAGATCTGCGGCAGGATGAAATTTTGCTGCAGACTTGCCGCATATACTAGTATGCCACACGAACAGTCTGCGGCAGATCTGCGGCAGGATGAAACTTTGCTCCAGACTTGCCGCATATACTAGTATGCCACAGGAACAGTCTGCGGCAGATCTGCGGCAGGGCGAAACTTTGCTCCAGACTTGCCGCATACCAGTACGCCACAGGAACAGTCTGCGGCAGGTCTGCCACAGGAAATCCCATTAAAGTCTAATAGGGCCAATTGAAACCAATCATCTCATGCATATTCATTATTACTTTACACGTGTGACAGAAAAATACATTTATCATGATTTGTTAAGCAAATTAAGACAATGCACATCATTTTTGTGATTTCTATTTTCCTTTTGCCATTATTAACCAATAGACTATTTGTCTGATCATGTTACAATTACATTCACGTTTAAGCAATAGATATATTGATTACTAACCAAGAAACTATGATTACTAACCAAGAAACAATATACATATTTAGTATATATATGTGTACGAGCCTGTGTCACTTTAAATGTTACTCTTGAATACACTTCAAATGATCAATGTGATGAAGTTAATACAATTGAGAAAGAATATACCTAATTGGTAATATCGATATATTTGGTATTACCTAATTGGTAATATCGATATTGCCAATATCGATTATGAAGTATCAATCAGTTTATCACTGGTTCTTCTACATGCATACTTTATTGCCATGTACTGGATATGAAAGAGTATGCGGCAGGTCTGCAGCAGGTCTATATGAGATATGAATATTCATGACGAAGAGTCTGCGGCAGGTCTGCAGCAAGTCTCCGGCAGACATGCCGCACACTCTTCATCATACTGATAGAGTATGCGGCAAGTCTGCAGCAAGTCTGCGGCAGACCTGCCGCAGACTCTTCATCATACTGAAAGAGTATGCGGCAGGTCTGCAGCAAGTCTGCGGCAGACCTGCCGCAGACTCTTCATCATACTGATAGAGTATGCGGCAAGTCTGCCGCAGACTCTTCATCATACTGAAAGAGTATGCGGCAAGTCTGCGGCAGACCTGCCGCAGACTCTTCATCATACTGAAAGAGTATGCGGCAGGTCTGCAGCAAGTCTGCGGCAGACCTGCCGCAGACTCTTCATCATACTGAAAGAGTATGCGGCAAGTCTGCAGCAAGTTTGCAGCAGACCTGCCGCAGACTCTTCATCATACTGAAAGAGTATGCGGCAAGTCTGCGGCAAGTCTGCGGCAAAACTAATTGCATGTGAAAAAGATGACTGTCTGCGGCAGGTCTGCTGCAGATCTGCGGCAAGTCTGCCGCAGGAGTATGCGGCAGGCTCATTTCTTTCCTATAGGTAGCCTTTGTATTTTACGGGGCACTTTTTTAGCAGAGCAATGTCGGCGGAGCAATTGTCGGTGTCACCGGAGCAAGTGTCGCTTCAGGCGGAACAAATGTCGGCGCGGGGCAATTGTCGGCAGAGCAATGTCACCGGAGCAATTGTCGCGTTTTGCGGAGCAATTGTCGGCGGAGCAATTGTCGGCGGAGCATCTGTCGTTCGAGGAGCATTTGTCACCGGAGCAATTGTCGGCGGAGCAAATGTCGGCGAAGCAATTGTCGGCGCAGCAATTGTCGGCGGAGCAAATGTCGGCGGAGCAATTGTCGGCGGAGCAAATGTCGGCGGAGCAACTGTCGGCGGAGCAACTGTCGCGGAGCAATTGTCGCGTTTTGCGGAGTAAATGTCGGCGGAGCAATCGTCGGCGGAGCATGTGTCATGGAACCAATTGTACATACGTACAAATACGGCTGTATTTTCTTAGAAAATTGAAAACATTTTATGTCGATCGCACTATAATGGTCTTGCTCTACAAATCCGTAATTGAGAGTATCTTCGCATTTGATTGTGTAGTCTGGTACACGAGTTGTCGTAAAGGAGACTTTACTATGTTGAATAGAATCACAGAGAACTATGTCGAAGTAGGATAGTAGAAAAAGCCAAATCCATCTTAATGAATAATCAGCATCCATCAGCAACTCATTTGTACCTAGCTCCATACGAATTCTAAATGAGGAAGGTATCATATAGGGCAATAAAACAATAACGATACCTTTCCATAACAATAATAGTAATATTAATAAAGATAATAATAGTATAATGCTGATGATGACATCAAAGACAATTGTTATTATAACAATAATAATAATGATAATAATAATAATAATAATAATAATAATGATAATAATAATAATAATAATAATAATAATAATAATCATATTAATAATGATAATAATAATAACAATAATAATCAAGTACAAATTATCGATACTTGTAAAATGTTATATATATATATATATATATATATATATATATATATATGTATATAGTGAATCGCAATACCATGTAACACGACGAATTTCCATTGTTAATAATAATAATAATAATATGATAATAATAAGACTCTATAGCAATAATAATAATGCAATACATTATCGATACTTGTAAAATCATATCGTCATTCCACCTCACTTGATATACATGTATATTATTTTCGATGCATGACTTTATCTTTGTTTTGGTTAATTTTTTTTTTTTTTTACTGTGAACTCAAAAATTATTTTATTGATTTTTGTATGAGTGTATTATGTTAAATATATGTGAATCGCAATACCATGTAACACGATGAATTTCCATTGTTAAATGGACAATGAATATGAACCTTATGAACCTTAAGTCAAATCTGGGTGAAACGAATCGGCCCCTGCCCTGGAACACCAGCCCGTGGCCTTAACAATGGTCCATGTTTACCTTATCCTTTTAGGATCACAAAAGGTTTGGGATGGTATGATGTCGACAGCACGATTTGATTATCATTGTGTAAGTTTTTTTTTGTGTCAATGCCTCGTTTGTTAGGTGGTATTTACATTCTCTATTATTTTACTTGTGAAGTTCCAGTCTAGTCATTTCATAAAACCTGACTTGTTAGCCATTTGACCTTCATTTACATGTACCATGGGTTCAGAATTACCCACAATTCACAATGTCCAATTATGATTGTAGGCCTTCACGGAATCTATGTAAATACAGGCAACACTCAAATTATTCATTGTAAGTTGTATTGTTTACGCACCAGATATGTATTTCCTGATCCATTTCAAGGCAGTTATTTGATCCAAAATGCCTAAATTTGGCGGTGTAATCTCGTCCCCTGGTTGGAATATATAACAGGAATAATGATAATTATGCATTATGATTTTATGCTATGCAACATCGTGAAGAATAAATGAGTATATTTCATAGATTTGTATCACATCTATAGTGCATCACATTGGCTCTTGTAATAATCATTGCTGGAATGGGCTTTGATATTGACATGAGGAAAAGGATAACACAAAAAGTCATGTTCAAAATTTCATTTTCATATTGACACAGTTTAAGATAACACAAAAAGGTTGATTTAGATCTCTTCAAAACTCTGTAGAATAAAGGCAAATCAATACCGGACCAACACATCTTTTGTTCATCTTTTTTTTTAGTTGTTATTGCTTTTAAATAGATAATTAGTTATTACGTTGATTCGGCTTGTCATTTTTGCCACCATATTCAAATTTGACGTGAATACGAACCCATGTCAAATATACAGATTAAAGTTATATGCATCAATCATTGACTAAACAGGCTATAGTAAATAAAGAGACTTTACCTGTGGTTAGATATCCCAGAGCACCCAATCTGTAGTTGATGGTCACCACTATGACGTCACCTAAACTGACCAATGGGAGGGGAGATAGCATGGAGACTGTTCCGGCGCCATACATAAAACCGCCGCCATGAATCCAGACCATTACAGCGAAGGGCTTGTCCCTCTAAAGGAAAATGATAATTTGTGTAGCAAATCGACAAAAGAGAAACAATGAATGAAAGAAAATAAGGCATTACCATCTTATCATGATTATGGTTTCGTCAACTTCGTCATTCTATCACTACCAGCTCCAAATTTCAACATTTCCAGAGTATGTGGCAAATAATCTGATAGGCCTATATATAAGATATAAAATCTCTTTCCAAAGAAAATGAGTGCCTTGCAGGGGCTCGAACCAACTACCTTCACATCTCCAATAAAGTGGCTCTAAGCATTCGACCAGGACACCCGATTTCGTCGAGCAATGAATATTTTTGACCTGCTTGGTTATTCACAAAATAATGATTGCATTGAAATGATATGGTTACAGGGCCTGTTAAATAGGCCTATGTCGAGACAAGGAAAAGAAACCCACTTGTGGTAGAGGCACAAAGACATCAAGGAAGAGACAGTCCTCGTCAGTACCAGACTCGGTGTTGTATACTGGGTGGGGTTCCTGCGGACAGCTAGGACCACCCGATGTCCCATCTACTTCCAAGTTCAGGTCCTGTAATTCCGACGGAGCGAAGCGTCGCCTGCCGGTAGGAGCTTTTGCATACCGAAGCCCACGGTAAGATGCCACTTGCCGCTCGACTCCAAGCTCAATGGCGCGGAATGTGGAGCAAGATCCCCAAATGGTGCTGGAGCCAGCTTGAATCGTTGGAGCTATGCAGTTTTCATTGCCTGCAACTGATGGCAATACGTGTATAAGAAACTGAATGCAGAGAGAGGAAAATACGGTTTTGAATGAAATTATCAGCGCCATATTGTCTTTAATGTAATGTTAAGACAGATTGAGCTTATTATGAATGGTCATGGGCGCGGAAGGTGTCTATTAAATCCACTCGTGTCTCATAACAAAAACCGCAAATGCAACTTAACTACTTCTTTCTTGCTTCTTATAATTAAGATCAACCACTTGAAACTTACCTCTCTCTCTCTCTTTTTTAGCGTATAGTTTGACATCCTCCGAGTTAAACTCGGGTGTTTAATAATTATACTGGTACCAGTATCTCTGTACAGGCTAATCTCTTATAGCAGGGTTATACAGACATTATACACAGTCATGACAAATTATAAATTTGAATAACCGTTTTATAGAAAAATAACAATCTAGTTGATAATTAATTATTTCACCTATCTGTGAAAACGTACAAGAAGATAGACATGTGAATGTTTTACCCCAAACGGCTTAAATAGTTAGAATTATTTGTAGCCTAGCTTTGGTAATCTGTGATCACTGTGGAATATTGGTGAAGACTCTTGATTAGAGGTCCCGGGCTTGATCCTTGCTTCATGCTTACACATTGGAAAAAGCGTTTTGCCCTTTTTTTGTTAATTTCGAACTAAATGGGTAGGGTATAGGGTAAGGTTTAGGCATGAGTGCATTAAATTGGTAAAGGATTAAGGTTAGGGTTAGGACTTCTCCTCGGCCTACCCAGTAATGCTAGTGTAACGATAGTTGTAGGGCCCACATGAAGAACAGTCGCTCATACGGCTACCCTTGGTAAATTGAATAACACTATGTTATTACTATCAGTGAAAAAAAATGTCTACCGTTATTCTGTAGTCCTTTTAAATTTCCTTTATTCTTCTTCACATTTATTCTCGTTTATCCTGTTTTCTACTGATGTCTTTTCTTTATCAGAGAAAAGAATCTGTTGACATTATAATAAATGAAGTCATATTCCACTTGTTGGGCATAACGCCACATTTGGCTGATAAGAGATTCCAAAATAATCATTGCCTTTGATCTGATGAAAAACTGAATAAAGGACATGGAAACGTTTGTAATAATAGTCGATCTCTTTGTTTTCACGATAATATTCATGAATACCAAATGAAATCCTATAAGCTAGTGGAACATCGAACCAGTTTATCATCACTAGACTGTATTGCCACTGAAGAGTGGAATAGTCATGGCTTGTGTACTTATTTCGTAAGTGAACGACCCGGGTTTGCACGGGCCACAATAACTTCCGCTGAGACCTAAAATTCCAGAAAATCTCTAGTTTTCAAAGATATTACGGTTTTCTGACCCAACAAAATTAATGTTATGCAAATGAATTAATGCTGAAAGTGTTTATAATAAATGAAAATGGTTCCAATAAATTATTGGTTTAGTTATATGACGATCATTTCTTAGTGATAACCATCTCAGTTATTAATACTTATTGTAGCTTGGTACATGATTGTGTATGTTGTTTAGGTGTATTACCGTTGATTAAGGGGGGGGGGGGGGCGAGGGGGGGGGGCACGTCTTCTTTGTGCCCCCGTAGTTACGTCAAATCCTCTTATATAAAAATTATTATGTTTCATCTTGCAATATTTCCAGTAGTTTAAGCCAATTGATAGTCAGACCATCACACCAACTGCAAAGTATGATACTTGAGAAATATCTTGGGCCATGCAAAGAGAGAAACAAATATTATGCTTTCTTAGCAGTCAGGTAAAATAACAACCACCACCCACCTAATTTTGATAGCATCCCTGATGATATACTCACAATCTTGAGATTGATTTGAGATTGAGAGAGATTGAAAAGTTTTATTAATTGCACTTCGCAGCCAGATGGCTGAATTATGAACAATTTACATTGGCAATGAATTATAATACATACAAATGTGGTTGACATTGTCACAAAGTATAATATACAGTATATAACAAAATTCATAACAAAGTTCATAACTAATATGACTATAAGGCAATAACAGGCAAATTAAGTCACGTTTAGGTGACACAAGAGTGGGTCAAAGGATGAGCAAGCGCAGGCCCTTTGCTCTTCAATACACGCTCTCATTCCTATACACGCTCCAATTCTCACTCCTGTACCTTGGACACTCTCATAAACACTCACATTTACACTCTTATACACACTCCCATTCACACTCCCATACACTAGCTAACGGTCTGCTCGCTCATCCTTGGACTTCTCTTGTGTCAAGGAATGTCGGGTATTTCAAACAATGTACATTTCAATCTTGGCAATGTAGGGGTATATTATACCAATGTCTAATACGGTATATTTTAGATTTGAGGGTTCCCTTTGTATACGTGCCCCCAGGCGCGTACGCAGGATTTTTTTCAAGGGGGGGGGGGGGGGGTTAACATTTTTAAATCGGGCCGAAATTTCGCATCGACTCTTTTTTTTTTTTTTTGGTCTCGAAATTTCAAAATTTGACATTTTGCTCCGTTGGGGGGGGGGGGGGGGGGGGGTAAGGTCACCTTTTTTTAGGTCAGCCATGGGAATAATTGTTGTTTTTTTTTTGGGGGGGGGGGGGGTTATACACATAAAAATACCAAAGACGCTCCGCCTGCCCTGCTTACAGCTCCCCATGTCAATTGAATATAGAGGGCGTTTCTACTCGGCTAGAACGTTACTCCGTTATAAGAAGTGTGGGAGTATTAATTTTATGCTGCCTCTCACTTGAGAGACGACCTGATCCATGAACCACCTCGTTGCACCAAAGGGCTCGCGGTGATAATATTTGCTTTATTGTGGAGGATAGTGGATTCTACGTTAATACAACATACAAGAGGTGAGATTATCAATTATATTTGTTTCATGTGTACTGTTTCATTCAATTACTCATTTTTCTTCATCTCGCGCTGTCATGAGCGGTACATTATTAGTATTTACCATATAGGCCCTGACTCTTTCCCAAGGTCTCTCTCTCTCTCTCTCTCTCCCCCCCCCCCCCTCTCTCTCTCTCTCTCCCCTTCTCTCTCTCTCTCTCTCCTCCTCTCTCTATCTTTTCTTGGAGAAAGGAGGGGGTATCTCCTCCTTATGTTTTCCAAAGCTGATATGTGAATATTGAAGGAGTGAACTGTAAGATTGTCTTCCCTTATTCCTTTCCTAGCAGAAGGTTAAGGTAACTTTGGCGGACCATCTTTTTTTTAATCTGAAAGATCTATAATGCATACATTAAACACTATAATGCATACATTAAACATCATATACATATCAGAATATAGACAGAAATAATCGTCCAGAAATGGACAAAATTTCATTTTATATTTAAAAAATGCCCCATAACAGACGGTTTTTTATGGCGCAGAATAATGCCAACATAATAATAGCTGACAGGGGAGCTCTCGGACCTTCTATATACAGTGCGTATTAAAAAAAAGTGTACCGAACTGTGTGAGCTTCTTATTATATTCATCCTATATGGTGTACTAAATATGAAGACTTGATTAATGAGTTAAGGCAGTAGGTATATAAAATTAATCATGAGAATAAGACATTTGTTATTAATAATTATAATACTCTCCTTATGAGTGTCCTGAAAATGAAAGTGATTATCTTAAGAAATAGCATTTATTGCGGCGGTTATTTCTGAGCTAGACACCACCAGTGTTTATTTGGTATAGGTGATTGGAATTTCTGACAATAGTTCCTTATTTCGAAATCATTTGAGACATTTTTGTTGAGATAATAATTTTGTGTTATCAAGTCTGCATTATTAATACCTGCAGATAGTTACACTTTTGTTAGTGAATCATATGGAATACCACGTCATGGTTAGACCACAGCAAATGCTAATGCCTCTATAGAGAAGATGAAGACTATGATAGATTTGCTACAACTGATCATACTCCTTTTAATTTGTCAATTGATGTTGACAATTTGCCTGGGCTACGTGATTCAGGCATGTCTAATACTGTACATAAAGGTAGGCTAGATTGAACTAAGATTGATCAAAATCGTAGGAATAATTATTGTTGTGACAATGATTTATTGCTTAATGGTATAGGCCTAATTAATGTGCATGTTTTTTATGTCTAGATTCCAATTGTGTGAACAATGACCATGCTTATTATTTATGTAATACATATGATGATATTGTGAATGCTTATGTGATGCTATAGTGAATCTCTATTTCAATGTAAAAACAAAGTTTATAATACTAGGCCTGGTTGGAATGAGCATGTGTCAGAGCTCCACTCTGCTGCTCGTGAGGCTCACTTACTCTGGGTTAATTGAAGCTGGCAAAAACAGACATGCAACCAGGGACGGTTATTTGAGCTAAACAAGAGGTCAAGTATGCTCTTCGTTTTAAAAAGAATAATGAGAATTTTATGTGGACGGACTCTGTTGCAGGGTAAAAGTTATTGTGAGTTTTGGAAAGAAATTAAATGTTTTAAAATATAGAGTAAAGAGTAAAGCGCCTCATCCAATTAATATTGAAGGTTTCTGTGGTGATGAAAAAATAAGTGAATTGTGGTTTAGTCATTATAAGGATTTGTTTAATTGTGTACAGAGTACGGTGCAGGATGTTACTAATGTTGACTTTGATGTAAATATGGTTAGCTCTCCTGATGAAGTAAAAGAAGTTATTAGAAAATTAGACGACAATAAGTCATGCGGTCTTGATACCATTACAGCTGAATATTTAAAGTTTGCAAGTCTGAAACTCATGCCCTTGCTTGCAATGTGCATTTCCAGCTTTTTGATCCATGGTATCTTACCAGATAGTATGGTTTCCGCTGTTTTGGTGCCAGTCATTAAATATAACGCTGGTCGCATTACTAATAAGGACAATAATATAGCATTGGCTAATGTCCAGTCAGAAGTGCTGGAAAAGATATAGCTTGGTAGGTTAGAGATGTATATTCTTACTAAAGATAACCAGTTCGGTTTTAAAGCCAAACATGGCACTGACATATATATGCTTTGAAGGAAACTATTTCAAGTCATTGTAGCAGAAATTCTTTCTTGTTTCTTTGTTTTCTTTAGGCTTCCAAAGCTTTTGATCGGATAAATCATGAAAAGCTGTTTACGAAAATGACTAATAGAGTTTCAAGTTTCAAGTTTACTTCACATTTGACAAATAAAGGGAATTTACATAATTGACAAAATTAGAACATAATATGAAATATACTAAAAGTGTCACATTATATAATTAATTCTTTGAAAAAACGTCGAAATTAATTGTAATGAATAGAATTTTATACAGAGTGAAATGTGAGGAACCTTTTAAAAAGCTCAGCTTGTAGATTATAGGTTCCCATAAATGAAACTAACATTTGGTTGAAGTAGTTGTAATGGTAGAGGACGTAACAGTAATAATAGGTGGGCAAGAAGGCCTTGACATAAGATGATATACAACGTGAAACAAGCAAAAATAGCAAATACAGCAGGCAAATTAATATGTTACCAAAGAAATGAGACGACAGTCACTTTAAAATATTGAGGTCATTAAACGAGGTCATTGAATGAGGTCACCCGAGCAAGGCGGTAGACATGAACAATCATGTATTCAAACCCACTCACGTGAGAGCCCCAAGGCACGCAAACGCATTCACCTACGCCACGCCCAGGGGCGTCGCTAGACCTTTTTCAGTGGGGGGGGGGGGGGGGGGGGGTGTAGAGGCCAACGATTACCGACAAAAGTAGCCACCAATTACCGACAAAATTAAATTTCCAATATCTACAGAGTCAACCCTATGAACCTGGGGCCGATGGCTAAATTATTTTTCCTATGGACTATCTATAGTACTTGCATAATTATGCGCAAAATGGTCATTTTCCTCGACGACATTAATATACGAATTATACAGGCGCGCATGCATAATAGGAGAAGGCCGGAATGTACAATGTATAATATCATAATCATTTAATTTCAAAGTCAAATTGGGTCATATGAATTTAAAAAGGACTGTTTAAGCTAATAGAGGTATTCCTAAGTACCTGATTAGGATACTCGTGTTTTGGTATATGCCCCAGATATGCCCATCAAACTATGATGGCTAGATGGGGAAGTAGTGTCTCTGAACTGTTCCATGTCAGTAATGGAGTTAGACAGGGTGGTATTTTTTCTCTCTTTCTCTTTAACCTGTACATGGATGGTGTATCTGACAATTTGAATGCTTGTAAAAAACTGTGTAGTTGGTGGTCTGGTAATCAATCACTAATGTATGCAGATGATCTCGTTATTATTATCCCGTCAACTGCTGGGTTGCAGAGTTTGCTCAAAATTTGTTATGATAATGGATATGATAATGATGTCAAATATAATGCAAAAAAGGGTCATGTTATGATAATTTGATGTAAGGAACACCGTAGATTGGTATTCCCAGATTTGTATTTATGTGGAGCTGAATCTTAATGTCTGTACAGAGGTCATGTATATTGGTCATTTTTATTACTGAGGACCACAGTGATTTGTTCGTTTTGTAGTATTTTTGTTTAATTGTCTTCATTCAATACTTGTACATGTACATCATACAAATACAAATTATTTCAAATTACATTACATAACATATAGAGTACACAATATACACAACCCAATTATTTTGAATAAAACAAATCTTTTCTTAATAATCCCCTTCCCCAAAATAAAACAAAAGACAATTCAATTTTCTTGACAAGAAAATTGAATTGTCTTTTGTTTTATTTTGGGGAAGGGGATTATTAAGAAAAGATTTGTTTATTATCACCGTTTACGTTAAAATGTCCCCATTTTTTATAATGGAGTGTCAATGTTTTTCGTTCCGTAGCAGTCTTTCTTTCTTCTTCTTCTTCGCTTTACAAAAAAAAATCTTTTATTTCCTCAATGATTGGAGGCTTTTTTTTTCTTTCTCCCTACTTAAAAATATAATAATTATTTGCCCAATGTGAACTTCCTTCCAGCTCATGTTTTTAAGAATAGGAAGATCCAGAATATCACTACATTGTTCCTATAATCTTCTCGCTTCAACGCATTACAAAAATATGTCCATATAATGTTTCCTCATCTTTTGCACAGAATGAGCATTTATCAATTGAAATAAACTTAAACCTATATAAATAGCGATTAAATTTGCTCCCAACTGGGAAGTAAATATTTCCGAGTATTACCTCTTTATTTGCAACAAACCAACTGTAAAATGAATCTGCCTTCTGCGTCAATAAGTCGTAGTTTATCATTTACTCCACTGTCACTAGTATCATAACCCCTTTAGTGTGAATTGGTAACTAATACCCTGCCTAATGATAACAGAGGTGTTGTGGACGAGTGGATAAGTTACCGGACTGTGGATCACAAGGTCCGTGGTTCAAGTCCCGCCGCAGCACTAATGTCCTTTGGCAAGACATTGATCTACATTTGCCACTCTTCACCCAGGTGTTAAATGGTTACCCGGTAGGATGTTAATGTGGTTAGATTAGCAAGTGTGCGCTTGTAAAAATGACGCCTGGCTGTAATGCTCCCCAGGGAGTGGAGAATGTGCATACATTGTGTGCTGGTAAGCCTGAATCCAATGACCGGGGTAATAATATACTTATCTGTAAAGCGCTTTGAGAGGGCCTCCGGTCCTGAAAAACGCTATATAAGAACGAGCTATTATTATTATTATATTCATAAGTGCCACAGATGACTGAACAGCAGGCTTTTCAGAAACTATTGTCAAAATCCTCTTGTAAATTTTGACTGGAGCAAAAGGTCAAAAGCCATTATGTGTTATCTCATTCCAAAAACACTTGCCAACTTACGTACATGCATGTAGTATTAGGCAGCTGAAAAGAAACAGATTTTAATATCAACTCAAACTCAAG